AGGGTGTTTAATACCCATTTTTATGGAAAAATAAATTTTAGAATAGTAGGTTGATAGAAAATGTGTGGATTAAAAAAAAAACTTTTGATTTACGTGTAATATTATTTTAATGGAGAATATGTGGTTAAAAAGAATAATGAAAAATGTATTTTGATAAACATGATAAACAAATGGGACTTATATGAAATACCAACCTTTTTGTTTCAACTAAAACTTCATAAAATGATATGCAGGTATCAAACACGACATTTTACATTGAGCAACAATCATATTCTTCCAAGAAATCATGTGTTATAGAAATAAGTACATAATGACGAAAATTCAAATTAGACATTTTTTTTAATTATTATTAAAAGGTGACCTACAATGTCATATTTTTAAATAAAAAATGACATAACAAATAAGTTTTTTAAAATAAAAAAATTGACGCTTCTTTCTATATTTTACCCAAATATTGGCTTCAACTCTTGTGCCCTATTTTGTCAAGGACAACTAACAAAAAATACTCTTCAAATTATAGGTCTTTTGAAAAATAATTTCAATAGTGCTTTAAAAAAAAAATAAAAAAAAATAGTAGTCCACTTTTGAGAGCAGTTGTCAAGATCACCAAGTCGATAGTATTACTGCATCTGATGGAATGGAGCTACTAGAACATGATAATCCATAAATTTGATTATTATAAAATGGTTAGCCGATATCATGAATAAATCCTCTAAACTTATTGATCGATTTTTGACAATGAAAATAAACTTAAATTTTCTAATACATTCATATGAAGAAAAAGCTCTATACTTTGAACTGAAACCGTAACTTCCATTTAATCAAACTATATCATGAATAAATCCTCCAACATATACAAATAAAGTGAAACAAAAACCAATCCAATCCGTGAATACATTTGCTAAATAAAAGCTTACCTTTTCACCATTTGCATTGTTTTTATTTCCCTTTGAATTCTTTCTCTAATTTATAGCCATTAATTGACGGTTTGATAATACAAATATGGTTGTAGCCAAGAGACACTGATTTCAAATCGGGATTCGTGGCTACAAATATGTTGTAGGAATGTAATTACCAAGCCTCAACATATACAATTTTTGCATCCAATCTCCTCAGTGTAAGTATTATGTTTTAGGTCCAATCAACTTTGGATATAAATATTTTTGATATACAATTAATGCAATTTAATAGCAGATCTATTATTTAATTAATAGACAATTAAATAAATAATAGAGTCTGTAGATTCAAATCTTCGTAATTTGTTAATCACAAGGAGTTGTGATCGTGAGATACAAATTACATCTGATTGAATATTAAATCGTCCGTGGTCGTAAGTAATAACGAGATATGGATATCGTTGTTACGGATAGACCATCACGTGTGGCATTTCTTACTTGTGAAATAAGTATCTGATCTCACAAGTTAAAGTGTGGTGACACTTAAATGAACTCGTGGATGTTTTGTTATAAAACAAAACATTGGAGACCCGTCGAGAGATTCTACATGGATAACTATGTGAGTGTCAGTGGTTAATCTCTAACGTTCGGTAGTGGAATTGGTCCTTTGACTTGAGGTCGTCATGGTACCTTATATGAGGACAGTCATACTTTGCTGGTGTTGGATGTTGCTCTGCAAAGGGTCGCTAATATGACGTAGTTCGGGTACGTCAAGAATCATATGAAGGTTGTGATTGACCAATAAAGGATTCGTCACTCTTAGATAGTAGGAGTTTATGATATGCGTTTCATTCAATTAAATCGATGATAAAATCCTTGGCTAAGGTGTATTTATAAGTCGAAAAGGAGTTTTCGACTTATATTGACTTAATAGTGGAGTGAAAGATATGATCGATAATCGATATTAACACACTTTCATATCTCGTAATTGATCGGATCATATTGACGAAGGGATTATAGTTTCACGGAAAAGGAACAAATTTGGTTTTGTCATACCACGTGACATTTCCCGTCACATATATTGCCCTGATACATTGCTAGATGTCAATTTGGGACGACGAGTGTGAATTGATGATAAATTAAAATGGTGTTTTAATTTATCAATTTTGATTAGATCAAAATAATATTTCACGTCATTAGGTATTGTGATCGGGAACCTAATGGGTCGCACACAAAAGAGAATTGGAAGATTGCAATTTGTCAATTAATTAATTTAACAATCGTTGGATAAATTAATTAATTGGTTTGGTTATTTATAGGTTCGAATTAATTGATTGGATTAATTAATTCACGGACCGGATTAATTAAATATTGGATCGGACCGGACCAGACCCGTTTGGGCTTATATAAATACATGACTAGGGTTTTCAATACATATAGTTTTTCTCATAATTATTCTTGCTAGCACAAGAGGAGAAAACACTGGTAGTTACAATCTTGTTCTCTGTGTGGATCACCGTTGGATGCTGGACAATTGGACAGTTGTGGGTGGCAAATCAAGATTGCTAGAACAAAAAGAAAAGCAAAAGGTTTGTAGAATTCTTCGAAGATACAATTTTTATCACGATTTCTATCTAAACACAAAAAGATTTTCGGTGGGAATCGAAATAATTTTAATTTTCTGCTGTGCATGTCTAAGTAGATTCCTAACACTCAGAAGCAAAAGCAAACAAGAAAGTGAACAAATGTGCTGTCAATATATTCCTATATGTGTGTGTTTAGGGGTTGTTTTGCGGGGTTTCTATGTGTGTAAGTGAGTTCATGGATTTGGAGTGTTTTATAACGTATTTATTATGTTATTAGATTTAATTACTTAATAGAGTATTTATCAAATTGGTTGATTTTATAGGGTATCGGGCCTAATTTGCCCATAATTTTTTTGGTAAATGACATATAATAACTAGGCACAATCATTTGAACTGAAAACTGAAGAAAAGTATATTTATGCTTCCAAATGGATGGAACCATTGAGTCTTCATTTACGCATCGAATCATATAAACAGAAAAGAAATATTAAATATCAACAATTCAACAAATTACCAGAAACGTATATGCTCACTGTTTAAATAAATATAAAGGTTGAACCCCAATTTTGAAGGCCCCCACCGTCCCACCCCTAGAGTTTTGTGAGGGAGGTAAATCGCGGGATGTACTCCATTAGGCCAGGGAACAAGAGTTGCATGTACACTACGCTTACAAGGAGTCAAATTCCATGTCTCAAGAATCGAACCCCTACATTGTGACTGCCAGCAAGACGTGAAATAACCTCATTCATATCCTTTGCATCACTGGACTATGCCTCGGGAGGCGCTCACTGTTTCAATAAATATGATTGTACAGAAGACGTCTTTAGCCACATTGTAAGCAAGAATTTTCAATCTCATACAATTTCAAAGATAAAACCTGAGTACAAGACCTTTTTAGGTTGTATGATCCAGTTGGAGGAGAGCACTTCAACATCTTTGCAGCCGGCCTGAAGACGGCAGATCGTGTAGTTACAGTTAGTCATGGATATTCTTGGGAGATAAAAACCTCTGAAGGTGGCTGGGGTCTACATGAGATTATAAATGAGAATGATTGGAAATTTCGTGGAATCGTAAATGGGATCGATACAAAGGATTGGAATCCTGAGTTAGATATTTACCTACAATCTGATGGGTATGTTAACTACTCCCTCGATACCCTAAACAAGGGCAAACCCCAGTGCAAGGAAGCATTACAGAAGGAGCTTGGTTTGCCTGTCCGAGCTGATGTACCATTAATTGGTTTCATTGGGAGACTCGATCCCCAAAAAGGTGTTGATCTGATAGCTGAAGCTGTTCCTTGGATGATGGGCCAGGATGTACAGTTGGTCATGTTGGGCACTGGTAGGCCTGATCTCGAACAGATGCTTAGAAAGTTTGAGGGCCAGTACAATGACAGAGTCAGGGGGTGGGTCGGTTTTTCCGTGAAAACAGCTCACCGGATAACTGCTGGTGTTGACATACTTCTGATGCCTTCAAGATTTGAGCCTTGTGGACTGAACCAGCTGTATGCAATGTGTTATGGGACAATTCCAGTCGTTCATGCAGTTGGTGGACTAAGAGATACAGTGCAGCCTTTCAACCCTTTCGAGGAAACGGGGCTTGGATGGACTTTTGCAAAGGCTGAGACGAATGAACTGATCAATGCATTAGGGAATTGCTTATTGACTTATCGACAGTACAAGAAGAGTTGGGAGGGTCTCCAGAGACGAGGAATGACACAGGATCTAAGTTGGGATAATGCTGCTCAAAAATACGAGGAAGTACTTATTGCTGCCAAGTTCCAATGGTAACGTTGCTGCTTATTTTCCCTCGATCTTGACTGTAGTCTTGGCGGAATGTCATCCTTTTTTGGTCTTTGCATTGTGGCTCAGTCAAAACTGACGTGTAAGATCATCCTTGCTTTTGCAACAAAAATTGGACCATAGAAGAGAGAAAAATTCAGATATTCTAGGTTAATACGCATATAGCTTAATATACATATTGTCTAATTCTCTTGTTCGTATTTCTTTCAGCTTTCAATCGGAATTTAATGGCAGGTTTACTTGTGTGTATGCTACCCTCCTGTTCATGATAGATTTTCACCATTACACGTCCAAAATTTCTGTAGACGTAATGATATCTTTAATGTCCAGCTCTTCAATTGCAATTCTTGGTATGGTAGATGAATGGTGCAAGCAATATTGATAGTGTTGGTGGTGGTGGTGGAGAGAATTTGATAGCATTAGACGACAAGGACAAATAGTTTTATTAATTTCATACACAATAGAGATGCACATTGGAAGAGGCACTAATGGCCTCCATGTCAAGAAAATAATAGTTGGAACATGTCTTTACACTCAATGGCTCACTGCATCACTTTCATGTATAAGAGACTCTTGTATCTTGGTCAACTGTAAACACGGACCGCTTGAAAAAAGTCGAGCAAAACCCTTGGAAAGGCAGCCTTCAACTGCACACGATGGCTTAGTACAACTGCTGTTATGCTTAACAATTTCTATGCAATCGTCCGTTGTGTTACCAAGTGGATTCTCTCCCCAGGTAACAGTTTTTCCAGGAGAATAAAAATGCCTTCGCTTAGCACTTGTCATGGTATTAGGGCTGACATACCCGTCTGAAAAGTCTAGTGCTTTCTGCAAGTTGTTGCTCGACTTTCTCTTGAAACCAGGAAAAGTTTTCAACCCTGCATGATTAACATATTGTTAGTTACAAAGGTGGTGTTTATTGGAATGGGTCAACAATCGCGTGCATTCCCTCTTAACTACATCGAAACAAGGGAATGGTAGGAACTTAAATAGGGTGCCATTCCCAAACGCCAATTCACATGATAGTTAAAACTTAACAGATAATACCGTATAAATTTTTGAAGCCTGCACCATCACATTGCTGGGCTTCTGAGTCGCCACAATTGCAGAATAAATTACTGGATCCCCTGATCCTGCACCACACAAGATATGTCTCATATTGATGCAGAGGGGTAAGACGAGTGAGAAAAATAGATCAACTGAGTATCTAAATCAAACCAACAAACCACACTGGTTCCATTGTTCTCATAGCTTAGTATTTAATGGTTAGGTCTGGATTTTGAATTCATAAAAGGTTGTCATCATAACGGGTTATGATATTGTATCAATTGTAAAGTCTTAACAGTAATTGCCTTCAATTTTATCCTTGGCCAAGTGAAATGCATTTGGTGGTACAACCACTTCTAAACAAACTACATCATGAGATATTTCATATATCACATTAGTAATAGCCTCATGCAAGAATTTTACTGCTACAGTGGATCTTGAGGAACGCTTTTAAGCAAAAATTAAGTAAACAAATTACACAGCTTTGTTAGAAATATTAAGGAAAATATTAAACGTCCTGAGAGAAATGGGTTTACCTGTACATGTGCTCAACGAAGTCATCAATTACGACCGGCCAAGCTCCTGAAAAAAGTATATATAATTGAGCAGATGACAATGAAACACTGCAGACTACAGTTAAATTAGATAATAATTTGTCTGGAAATCATTCCATTCAAATACTTGTGAAATACGCTTGATTTCTGTAAGTAATATGAATTAAATTCAGTCATCGAAAATCGCATACTATGACAGGAAACTCTTGGACTTTCTAGGCACTGTCCAACTTCCCATTATCATTTCTAATACCACTACATACCACCAACAAACATACTCGAAGAACTTCACTTCAAATTTAAGGCAGCAACAACCAATCTCGATAATAAGCAAATAGGAGATCAAGGCCTAGTTGAATTGGTAAGAGCGAAACCACTAGAGTATTGACATGCATAGGAGTCTCTTTCAGGGCGTAAGGGGGGGATTTTATTTTTTTTCCCCTCTCTAAAAAAAAGAATAAGCAAACAGTTGTTTTGCACTATGGGAGAAAGCAAGTTAAGCCTTCCTTTGCTTTGTTGATATTGGGATAACCAAAAATATTTTTCTCAGCACATAATCAAGAAAATTTTCCAATTTCCAACTCCATTCAAGATTGATAGGAGAAACACTAAAACTTCTTTCCTTTACACATTGCTTTCTCAGCTTTAAACGCCCATCCCCCTACACTAACAAGCCTACAAAACTCACCAATCAGGATTAGATGTCAAAATAATATAAATAGCTGGCAGTAAACAGTAAAGCAGGTAAAAACGACAGGAAGAGGGCAAAAGCAAGCAATAAACCTCCATATGCATGCGGGAAAATCTATTTCATGCATATGGGATTGAGCGTTGTACATAAAAATATTAGTTTTCTGCATACTAGAAGTCTTCACTATCAGCGAAGTAAGTAGGCATATTATGACTAGGGTCATAGACCATTTGACTGTTCCGTGATCAAGCATAAAATCAATAGTTTTCTGCACAAGTCTATAGTAACAATGAAATAAGTAGGCACATTATCAGTAGGGTCATAAATTGACCCCTTTTCAACGTTCCTGGATCAGGCCCCACAAAGCCTCCAAATAGGCTTCTGCCAAATCATATAATCCATTTTCCATATATGGAAACTATTCCGAAAATTAATAATAGCCGGCAACATTACCTTCAGGATCATACCCTTCAAGATTTTCATGCACACAGCGACTGAAGGCTAAAACTTGTCGCCATGTATCCTCGGAAATGTTATGTCGCTGATTACTCTGGGACCAATTGAGAGAAATGAGTTGTAGAATATGCAGGACAAATGCAAGGAACAAATGAAGGAACTAACATCTGATTCTTATACCACTTTCTGCAAATCATCATACGAGTGCAACAATGGTTTGAAACATACCATACTACAGCGATCAAATTCAACGAACATAGATAAGAGGCCAACTCAATTCACATTTCACAGCTAGCAGTTTTGAACATAAACAAAAGAAAACCTCTCTACATGGTCACTGTATACAAACAGAATTGATAATATAATTTTTGGCATCTTCAATACAGATTAGTTCTATTTATATTGAATGGCTTATTTTTTCTGTTATCCTGCTTTCATCAAACATTTGACAATCGTAAGAGTAAAACCTTGCTCCATCCCTTCATCTTTGACAACACATAAAACATATTATTGTACTACAAAAGCAGCAGCTAGACTGTTAATCACAAAAATAAATTACATTTTACTTATTTGCATTCCTGGTAAAATAACAGAAGAATTTAACCAGGTACCAAAATCTATATCATATAAACTAAAGACGGAAATACACGAGATTTGTACTTTCCACACATTAAAAAAGAAAGTGAAGGGTGAATAAAATTCTACAACTGTGGTCCATGCAATCTAAACTTCCATGTAGAGATAAGAAGACCCCAGTTCATGAATTTTCGCAGTCCTAAGGTTTGAAAAGGCGGAAACGAGGCGCTCCTCTCAAAGTGAGGCGCACCTTCAGTGCCTCGAAGCACAAATTCAGTGCTATTTAATTGAGGCAGGTCGCCATTGAATGAGGTTTGCTGTGACATTTGGATTTTTTTTACATTTTTATTTTCTTTTTCCTAAGTCTAAACGTGAATTAAGGCGTGTCTATTAACTTAATCATAAGAGTGAAATCCAATAACTGAAGTCCAGGAAATCTGAAGTTTCATGTCATGATGAGAAGGCCCCAATTCAAGTATTTTCGCAATCCTAATTAAGACGTGTCAAGAGACACCTAATTAACTTAATCATCATCTTTATAATTGTTTGTTCTTTTTTTAAATAGGTAGTCATCTCTGTATGAGAAAAGAAAAACAAAAATGTCGATGACTGGTCCCTGACAACAATCAGTAACAAATACTACATTAAAATTTACCTCAATAAAGTTACACCATTGATCAAGCAATCGAAACCTTCCAGCTAAAACTAATCTCCAGGCCATAACAGCCCTGCTTACAGCTGAAACGTGTTTAGCACTCGTGGTTAGAGTCAGATTTATGCACAGATATCAGATATGTTGTATAATAGTGAAGAAAATGCACTAAAATGCTACATTAGAATAAAATTGACATACTGATGCTCTTCTGACCATTTTCGCGGCATATGAAGAAGAGAAAATCATAGAATCGTGAGAACTCAGAGAAATCTGCCTATGAAAATTAAGAAGCATGTAAAGCATTGAAAACAATTTAAAAGCAATCTTACATCCAAAATGAGCATAAAAAAACTCAATGTTGTCATCTTACCATGAAGTCTAATGTTGACATCAGCTTGTAAGCTTCCTCAAGAATTGAAACCCTGTGATAGAACATAATTTTTCAGCTTTCATTAACCTGACACTAACATTTTTCCCATCACCACCCAAAAATAGAAAGTATATTATCAATTAATAGACTGATTTTTTCAATGAAAGAAAACCAAGATAACATATAAAATCTGTGCCTTATGTGTGTTTGGGTTTCCTTATAAGTAACTTATAATTTCCAATCCAACTTTAATTTTAACCATAAATTCACAACCACTACCCACTTATTATCTACGTGTTTCGATGGAACCAACATTCCTCTCATTAAAATTTCCTTATAAGTTACTTCAAATAAAACAAAAACACGTGCACAAATCATAATCATTATGAACATTCAACAAATTTTATGATGACATTCTCGCGTGTTCAAGTTTAAGTTTTCCTTCCAAGGAATAACAATTAGCCACACTCGAATATTTTCTTCCTTCATCATTTTAGCAGTTACGCTAAAAAATTCCATCAAATTTCAACTTAAATTTACCTTTCTTGCGACTGACCAAACTGATGATAAAACAAGCTCCAGCAGAAAACAATATTCTATGTATATAACAATCTCAACCTAAAAAAAGAAAAAGAAAATCTAAAAAGTACAATAGTCATGCGCACAACCTCAAAAAGACATTACAAACTTCATTTGCAACTTAAATGTTTGGAATCTAAGCAGCATCCAAGCAAACAGTTTCATTGTTGCTACAAATTAGATACCTTGTATTCACACTAGACTCCACCACCGTCAATAGCTGTGCCAGCGCCTCTCTTGAAGATCTCAATTTCTGTGACTCGTCCTCTGGCCTGTAGCTCTCCCCCACACTAGGATGCACCGCAGGCATAATGTCTGAAATAGAGATTCTCAAAAATACAACAAATCAGAACACCCCTTTACAGGGGAAAAAGAAATATAACAGGTTGACTGTGAATAAATCATTGAAAAAATAGTCTTGAAATAGTAAAGAATCTGTTCTAATCTTGTCTATTTCCCATAATCCCTTCCAAAAATAGAAATCAGATGTCTACAATAATTCTAGGACAGCAATCTATTAATCAATAAATTCACATTTTTGTGATAGCATGATTATATTAACTAATTAAGCAACATATCACACTTCATATTTCAGAAAACGCAACTTTATGGATAAAAATCCGAGACAAAGAAAAATCTTAATGCAGCAACTATAGAATTCCACCAGTCTAGATAATTTAATTTAGTTTATCTAATTTAAAGCCATCCACATGAAAAACATTAAAATTATTGCCTTTACTTCCAAAAATTAAAAAAAATGTAGCAATAATTCCACAGAATACAATCTATATACATCCAACAAATATCGATTATTTAAATCGAAATAAACCACAAAAATAAACAACAGAGAGATTGACAGAATACCGCAATAGTGGCGATATATGTCGAAGATTTTGTACGAAGTACCAAACGAGGAGTCCATAGAGATTGGGATTTTTAGGGTTCGTGCAGATACGAAACCCCTTCTTAATTCACCAACCAATGAATATGGGCTACTATATCATCGGTGAGTTATGCTATTCGTACAAAGTAAGTTTATTGGTTGACAAAGTAAGATATACACGAATAGTTTCACAAATAAATTTTTAAATCATTGAAAATTAATACTCTGAAATTTGCCAAAATTTATTTTGTCAATCAAATTTATAAACACACTTTGTACAAATAGCATCATACATAGTCGATGGATACTAGATCTTCGACAAGCTGCCTGAAACTTTGGAAAATTAATGTAATAAAATTTGTGCAACTTACAAAAGTACCCCTAAATTTAGAGGTACTTTGAAAAATTATAAGAAATGTATTTTGAAAGGAAAGACTTGTTCGATAATAATTATAAAAATTAATTTTTTGACTGTTAGAAAGAAAATTGGTCTCATCTATTAAAGAAGATGTCAAAAATAATGACTAACTTAGAAAAATAACGATAAAAAAATAATTTTGTTGGATGAAAAAACAGAACCAAACGTACACTAAAAAATACTTTCGAAAATTAAGTGTGTCACTTTTTTAATTGAAAAATGACATACAAATTCATTTTTATTTTAAAAATGGGTTATTTTCACTCAAAAAATGATAAAAATTTTGAAAAAGTAATAAACACTAAAAAGTAGCAGACATTCTAAAAAAGTGACAAAAATTAAAATAAAATAAAAACAAATAAAGTGACAAGGAAAAAAAAAGGCGACAACCACCATCCCTTCTCTTTCTTACAAAAAAGTAACAAACATTCAAAAAAGAGACGTAAATTTGAAAAAGTGACAAAACAATAATCAAAACCTTGAAGTAGATCATTTTATGCAAATTCAACCACCTCACCATCACCACCAAGGCCAACTGGGCAAAAGGTCACTCAAAACATTATGAGGGTGTTTGATACCCATTTTTATGGGAAAATAAATTTTAGAATAGTAGGTTGATAAAAAATGTGTGGATATAAAAAAAAAACTTTTGATTTACGTGTAATATTATTTTAATGGAGAATATGTGGTTAAAAAGAATAATGAAAAATGTATTTTGATAAACATGATAAACAAATGGGACTTATATGAAATACCAACCTTTTTGTTTCAACTAAAACTTCATAAAATGATATGCAGGTATCAAACACGACATTTTACATTGAGCAACAATCATATTCTTCCAAGAAATCATGTTTTATAGAAATAAGTACATAATGACGAAAATTCAAATTAGACATTTTTTTTAATTATTATTAAAAGGTGACCTACAATGTCATATTTTTAAATGAAAAATGACATAACAAATAAGTTTTTTAAAATAAAAAAATTGACGCTTCTTTCTATATTTTACCCAAATATTGGCTTCAACTCTTGTGCCCTATTTTGTCAAGGACAACTAACAAAAAATACTCTTCAAATTATAGGTCTTTTGAAAAATAATTTCAATAGTGCTTTAAAAAAAAAATAAAAAAAAATAGTAGTCCACTTTTGAGAGCAGTTGTCAAGATCACCAAGTCGATAGTATTACTGCATCTGATGGAATGGAGCTACTAGAACATGATAATCCATAAATTTGATTATTATAAAATGGTTAGCCGATATCATGAATAAATCCTCTAAACTTATTGATCGATTTTTGACAATGAAAATAAACTTAAATTTTCTAATACATTCATATGAAGAAAAAGCTCTATACTTTGAACTGAAACCGTAACTTCCATTTAATCAAACTATATCATGAATAAATCCTCCAACATATACAAATAAAGTGAAACAAAAACCAATCCAATCCGTGAATACATTTGCTAAATAAAAGCTTACCTTTTCACCATTTGCATTGTTTTTATTTCCCTTTGAATTCTTTCTCTAATTTATAGCCATTAATTGACGGTTTGATAATACAAATATGGTTGTAGCCAAGAGACACTGATTTCAAATCGGGATTCGTGGCTACAAATATGTTGTAGGAATGTAATTACCAAGCCTCAACATATACAATTTTTGCATCCAATCTCCTCAGTGTAAGTATTATGTTTTAGGTCCAATCAACTTTGGATATAAATATTTTTGATATACAATTAATGCAATTTAATAGCAGATCTATTATTTAATTAATAGACAATTAAATAAATAATAGAGTCTGTAGATTCAAATCTTCGTAATTTGTTAATCACAAGGAGTTGTGATCGTGAGATACAAATTACATCTGATTGAATATTAAATCGTCCGTGGTCGTAAGTAATAACGAGATATGGATATCGTTGTTACGGATAGACCATCACGTGTGGCATTTCTTACTTGTGAAATAAGTATCTGATCTCACAAGTTAAAGTGTGGTGACACTTAAATGAACTCGTGGATGTTTTGTTATAAAACAAAACATTGGAGACCCGTCGAGAGATTCTACATGGATAACTATGTGAGTGTCAGTGGTTAATCTCTAACGTTCGGTAGTGGAATTGGTCCTTTGACTTGAGGTCGTCATGGTACCTTATATGAGGACAGTCATACTTTGCCCGTGTTGGATGTTGCTCTGCAAAGGGTCGCTAATATGACGTAGTTCGGGTACGTCAAGAATCATATGAAGGTTGTGATTGACCAATAAAGGATTCGTCACTCTTAGATAGTAGGAGATTATGATATGCGTTTCATTCAATTAAATCGATGATAAAATCCTTGGCTAAGGTGTATTTATAAGTCGAAAAAGAGTTTTCGACTTATATTGACTTAATAGTGGAGTGAAAGATATGATCGATAATCGATATTAACACACTTTCATATCTCGTAATTGATCGGATCATATTGACGAAGGGATTATAGTTTCACGGAAAAGGAACAAATTTGGTTTTGTCATACCACGTGACATTTCCCGTCACATATATTGCCCTGATACATTGCTAGATGTCAATTTGGGACGACGAGTGTGAATTGATGATAAATTAAAATGGTGTTTTAATTTATCAATTTTGATTAGATCAAAATAATATTTCACGTCATTAGGTATTGTGATCGGGAACCTAATGGGTCGCACACAAAAGAGAATTGGAAGATTGCAATTTGTCAATTAATTAATTTAACAATCGTTGGATAAATTAATTAATTGGTTTGGTTATTTATATGTTCGAATTAATTGATTGGATTAATTAATTCACGGACCGGATTTAATTAAATGGATTAATTAAATATTGGATCGGACCGGACCGGACCCGTTTGGGCTTATGTAAATACATGACTAAGGTTTTCAATACATATAGTTTTTCTCATAATTATTCTTGCTAGCACAAGAGGAGAAAACACTGGTAGTTACAATCTTGTTCTCTGTGTGGATCACCGTTGGATGCTGGACAATTGGACAGTTGTGGGTGGCAAATCAAGATTGCTAGAACAAAAAGAAAAGCAAAAGGTTTGTAGAATTCTTCGAAGATACAATCTTTATCACGATTTCTATCTAAACACAAAAAGATTTTCGGTGGGAATCGAAATAATTTTAATTTTCTGCTGTGCATGTCTAAGTAGATTCCTAACACTCAGAAGCAAAAGCAAACAAGAAAGTGAACAAATGTGCTGTCAATATATTCCTATATGTGTGTGTTTAGGGGTTTGGGGGTTGTTTTGCGGGGTTTCTATGTGTGTAAGTGAGTTCAGGGATTTGGAGTGTTTTATAACGTATTTATTATGTTATTAGATTTAATTACTTAATAGAGTATTTATCAAATTGGTTGATTTTATAGGGTATCGGGCCTAATTTGCCCATAATTTTTTTGGTAAATGACATATAATAACTAGGCACAATCATTTGAACTGAAAACTGAAGAAAAGTATATTTATGCTTCCAAATGGATGGAACCATTGAGTCTTCATTTACGCATCGAATCATATAAACAGAAAAGAAATATTAAATATCAACAATTCAACAAATTACCAGAAACGTATATGCTCACTGTTTAAATAAATATAAAGGTTGAACCCCAATTTTGAAGGCCCCCACCGTCCCACCCCTAGAGTTTTGTGAGGGAGGTAAATCGCGGGATGTACTCCATTAGGCCAGGGAACAAGAGTTGTATATACACTACGCTTACAAGGAGTCAAATTCCATGTCTCAAGAATCGAACCCCTACATTGTGACTGCCAGCAAGACGTGAAATAACCTTACTCATATCATTTGCATCACTGGGCTATGCCTCGAGAGGCGCTCACTGTTTCAATAAATATGATTGTACAGAAGACGTCTTTAGCCACATTGTAAGCAAGAATTTTCAATCTAATACAATTTCAAAGATAGAACCTGAGTACAATACCACAAAATCAGATATACAAACAAACAATACAATCCCTTCAAAGAAACTCCATAGAAACAACCACCACTTCTGAAAGGGAGGTGGAACAACACCCTTCTGTTTGTCCGGTAGTGTTTGGCGTTTTCACTACTCCGTCAAGTATGCAAGACCTGAAAAATGAAGGCGGGGCTTTCTCCCCCGTTTTACCTCCGACGTGAGAATTAGTTTTTAGATTTGGAAGAAATATATTTGAAATTCAGATGGCTAAAACGAGAATGAGAGAAAAAAAAAAATCCTTTACCTGTGTCACATCCGGGGGTATTTATAGATATTAGGCACTGGGTAACCGTTGGGCGGTTGTGGTGCCACGTGTCCCACGTTGGTATTCCCACTACACCCACGTTCTGAGTGAGGAGTCATTAACTTCCCGCCTGAAGATTGTACCTATATCAGCGGCCATGGAACCTGATCAATTCATTAAAAGTTTTATGGCTAAGTGTTTGGACAAGCAATATCATGCCCGTTGAGGACTTCGTTTAGAGGTAGAATGATTTCTAGGGATAGTGGTAGAGCGCCCTTTGGGGGTTGTAGTAGAGCGCCCCCTGGGCGTAGTGGTAGAACGCCTTCTGGGGATTGTGGTAGAACGCTCCTCTCGGGCGTAGTGGCAAAACGCTTTCTGGGGGTTGTGGTAGAGCGCCCCCTGGACGTAGTGGTAGAACACTCTTCTCGACGTATTGGTAGAACGCCCTATGGGGGTCGATGGCCTTGCATCGGAGTGCTGTGATCTGCCTTGTT